TAGATAGGCAATTAATTTGTGTAATCTTTAAATGTTGCCAAATTTTGTGAGTGAAATGTTTGTGAAGAAAGCAACTCGTCTGCTTTTGTTCGTTTCTTTGTTTTTCTTTTTCGAATTTCCAGCCCACCATTTATCTATATAATTCAAAGTGCAATTAATTATAAATGAAATTATGTAAACGTTATATTTAATGTATTACTTGCAAAAATAATTGTGATAATTATTTTAATTGTGATATTTTGATCATTGTAATTTGATAACAATGTAATTTAATTTGATAACAGCTAATTTAATTGATAACATTGTATTCTAACAATGTATTCTAATAATTGTATAGTAATCTAACATTGTTGCTCTAAACATTGTATTTTTTACAATGTTTAGAGGGTACATAAATTTACATCAAGATTTCATTAAAATAACTACCACTTTAGGTTATTATTAATAACTTTAGTTTTATGGAATGTATATATCAATCTCAAGATTTTATCCAAATGATTGTTAAATTTCGGTATATTCCGGAATATAAGTCGACCCAGAGTTTATCCAATCAATTATTCAACTTCGGTTTATCTGACGTGTACGTTGACCCAGAAATTTTATTCAAGTAATCATTAAATTTCAGTTTATCTGACATATAAATAGATTATAACATTTTATCGGAACAATCATTAAATTTAGATTCATGCGGTACATATGCAAACCTCAACATTTTATCAAATAGTTATTAAATTTAGGTTTATGCGGTGTATATTTCGACCCTGAGATATTATCCGAAAAATTATAAAATCTAGGTTTATCTGTAGTGTAAGCCGAACTTAAAATACTATCCAAATAATTATTAAATTTAGGTTTATCTCCCGTACATGTTGACATCAAGATTTTTTTCAAATAATAATTAAATTTAGACTTTAGTCGGCCGCAAAATTTTAATCAAATGATTAATAAGTTTAGGTTTATCAAGCATATAAAGTGAGTGCTGAGATTTTACCCAAATAATGATTAAGTTTAGATTTAACAAGCATATATGTCGACCCGCAGACTTAACTCAAATAATTATTAGGTTTTATCATGCGTATACGTTAAGTGCCTAAGTTTTATTTAATAACCATTCAATTTGTAGAGTTATTAGGTTATTTTGAAGCAGGAATATATGAAAAACGAGCAATACCTTGCAAATGTTTTATGCCGGCAATTTTCGTCTTACGTGTATCGTTCCAACGCCATTTATGGTTTTTCAACGCGCTGATCAGTTTGTGCAGGAAAAAAGTTACCATCGAAAATTTCGAAATTGTTCCTTTGTAACCGTAACCGTTAGAGCACTGTTGTTTTAAATCATCACAATCTCGAGCGCATTCCTTCAAAGAACAATAACTGAAATTTGATTTCGATTGGTTGACAGGCCGCTAGGTATTCATACATAGGGGAATTTTTTTTATGATCATCCTGTATGCAATCTTGCTATTTTTTAATATTTAGCTGATATCTCCGTCACTTTCTTAAAATATCATATTTCTGTTTAATAATTACTTTACCTCTTTATAATTATTTAATCTTTAAAACTATATTAAATTGCACTGAATTGGATCTTTTGTACTTTGGGGATACAAACGAGAGCTATCTGTCTGAAGGGAGGAATGCTTTCATGGAGGACTTTTTAACGAAAACTGGCTCGTTTTTACGTTACGCATAAAGGAAAAGTACAAAACGTTTAATCCGTTTGCCTTGTCAAACTACCGGTACTCAACTATTTTACCGCTCAACTGTTGATAGACGCAATACTACATTAAAATAAAGAATTACTATTTGCATAAAGTTACAGCTTGCATAGGAGAACCTTCACGGATTACCAAAAATTTAGAATCGAGTATCATAAAATTAATATACCAATCGTAAAATCGACTAACATCTATTTGTGCTTCGATTTAAATTTATGAGAAATGAAAATATTTACCAAAACTTGATACCTGCATTGCAGTCTTAGAATGCAATTATTCGTATAAATTTAAAACTCGTGCATCCGTATGAATTTAACTTAAAACACAACATAATTTATTAATAAATTCGTATCTGAGCAATTTTGAAATTTTAAATATTTTGCCTCTATTTTCTGCTGAAAAAGAAACTGTTTATAACTGAATGTTAGAATTTCGGCATATTAGGAAACGTAATAGAAACATCATATTAACATGCAGCTTTTTTTATTTTGTTTTATTTGTTAAGCTACATGGTTTAGTAGTGCAGTACACAAAGAAGCGCACATTTTTCAAGTGCGCATCGTTTTCTTTGTGTGCCTTGATAATATTCCTGAACACTTTGTTTTCAAGTACTTTGCGTGTCTGAAAATTTTTATTGAGCATTTGTTTCTACAAGTCATTTTAATCGCTTAAGCAACTATAACTTCTGAATATACACATATATTTTAATTTTGCAAAATATTTGTTTTTTCCGCTGTAGAAACTGAAGCATTTACCATTTCTAGCTTTTTTTTTTTAAATGATCCATTTTCAGTTAAATGCAAATCTCCTTAAAGGTATAGTTGTGCATCGGATACCTCAAGCGACTTTCCTTCTACGGTTTTCAACTTGAAAAAAAATGAATTTAAAAGCAGAGTTATAGTAGGACTTCTAAAAAGTTTTAATGTTTTGTGCTAAAAGCATTGAAAGCAATGACATAAAAAACCTAAATGCTTTCAGATTTTATATTATGCCCAAAGGGGCGTTTTTTGGACGTTTTATGCGTTACCTTTATTTATTAAATATCATGTTCAACCATAAAATAACCATAAAAAGCTATAAAATATATCAACAACAATATCACAAAATATTTAAAAGAGCATATCTTTAGGATTTTCGATACACAGTCTCGCGTGCTGGAGATAAATTTTCCCCCCATACAGTGTTTCTTTGAAATCGTTGAGTTTCTTAATCAAAAACTTACAAATGATTTACAAAATATGAAATAGATAATAAAGCAAATACCAATTCCAAATTTGGGCTTCCAGATGCCCATATTCGGGTGGAGACATACGTTATTCAAAGTTCGATGGCTTTAGATACCGTTATTTTATCACATCGCGAGAAACTTACATACACCCATGCAGATTCTTCATTATTTAATTTCTTTAAATATAATGCAGGGCTTTAATATTAACGTTTTGTATGTTACCTTTATTTACTAAATATCATGCTCTTTGCACTTAAACCATAAAATTCAATTCAACAGCAAAACCGTAAAATAATTTTAAAATGAGACTATCTTTAGAAATTCCGATACACAGTCTCGCTCGCTGGAGATAAAATCCCCTCCCCCCGTACAGTGTTGCCATTGCTCGCTTTTAAATCATTGAGTTTGTTAATCAAAAATTCGTTAAAGTATTACAAAATATGAAATCGATAATAAAACAAATTCCAGATTGCAAATGTGTGCTTCCAGATGCCCATACTCGCAGGAGGATTACGTTATTCAAAATTGGATGGCTCTAGGTACCGTTGTTTTATCACAATGCGGGAAACATACATGCATTTATGCAGATTCTTCGTTTTTTAATTTCTTTAAATATAATACAGGGCTCTAATATTTGGTGGCAACAATTTGAGACGTGATACGCTGGTTTATAGTGACGACGCAAAATGCCAAAACGAAATTAATAGCCCTTCTGGGCTAAAAAAGAAAAGAAAAGAAAGAAAGAAAAAAAAAAAAAAAAAAATCTGAAATGTTTCAGATTTTAAATTACGTCCAAAGGGGCGTTTTTTTAACATTTTGTGTGTTACCTTTCTTTATTAAATATCATGTTCCTCGCACTTAAACCATAAGATCCAGTGCAACAGCAATATCGCAAAATAGTTTTAAAACGAGCATATCTTTAGAATTTCCGATACAGAGACTCACGCGCTGGAGATAAAAATGTTTTTTCTGCACAACGTTTCCATTGCTCGCTTTGAAATCCTTGAGTTTGTTAATCAAAAATTCGTCAAAGTTTTAAAAAATAGGAAATCGATCATAAAACAAATTTCAAATTTCAAATTTGGTCTTCCACATGCTCATATTCGTTGGAGGATTACGTTATTCAAAATTCGATGACTCTATGTACCGTTGTTTTATCACAATACGAGAAATATACATACATTTATGCAGATTTTTCATTATTTAATTTCTTCAAATATAATGCAGGACTCTAACATTTTGTGGCAACAGTTTGAAAAGTGAACCGACATTTATGAGTCCGACGCAAAATGCCAAAACGAAACTAATAGTCCTTCGGGATTCAAATCCCTTTGGACTAAAAAAAGAAGAAATAAAGTGAAAAAAAAAAAAGGAGAGAAGAACCTGAATAATTCTAATGAACTTTACAGCAACTTGAAAGTTACAGAATTACGATTAAGTGAACGCAGTTAAATTGTTTATTAATTCAATGACTGAGTATGTGACTAAAAAGTAAAGTACAACTTTAAAATTTTCTTTCTTTCAAACATGGAAAAGTGTGGGTCTTCTAGTGGGTGCTGCTTATAATTTTATACTTTTAAACCTACGACTGAAAAACTGCATATATTTTTACACATTTTAAACACGATAGAAGCGACTTGGAAGCCCTTTGAAAGTATACCTCCGCGCAAGTGCCCCACTGACTCGTATAGCAATTCATTCCTCAGTCCCTGATTATTACCGGTCGTGATAGCTTTTTGCAGACTATTTAAAAAACTGGCAAAATATATTAATAATAATTTTTACTATTAATTTCCTGAACATCCAAAACTTACATTTTAAAGCAATTCGGAAAAATAAATAAATAACTAAAACACTTAAAAAATTAATTATGAAGCTAAAAAAAATTATTTTTTTTTTGGAAAATAAAATTCAATTCAATTTTACTGTCATTGCATAAAACAATTTCGGAAAGTTTAAGTTTAAAATACGTTAAGTTTTAAATAATTTCACACAAATTATTTAATTAAAATAAATTGTTCTATTTCATATTAGGTGAAAAATGGCCTACTTACCAGCTATTCTAACTATTCCTAAGATAAGCAAAGAAATGACTAGAGAAAAAGTGTTCTTCACGTCCATAATGTCTACTTTGAAGAGTGGATGACGAGCTGTCATTAAATCACTCACTCAAGATCCTTCTGCTCCTGAAGATCGCTTGGAGCACAGTTTTATAGCTCCTTACACTAAGGGTCTTTATTCTGAAGTGACTACCAAACGCTCAGGGCTTCCCAAATGAATGCCAGAAGATTAAAAAGAATAACACAAAAAACAAAAGCAAAAAAATATCACAGGATTGGACGGAGGGGGGGAAAGGCAAAAATTGACTCAGTCACTGGAGGTCAAACGATGAAGTCAAGGGATGTCCATTGATGCTTCGAGTCACGTGATTCTAACACTTTCTCGTTTGGCACGCCGAATAGGCGTGGCTTACGTGCGGCAGCCTTGCGCCGGTAGACCTTGTGAAGGTCTACTGCGGCTGTTGTGAAGAGAGTAAAAGGGAAAGTTGGACTGGTTGGGGTTACCCGATTTTGGTTTTTAGCCTCGTTTCTGGAGCAAATGATGCGAAGGAAGATACTCTTAGCGATTTGGTAAATCGTTCTCGCATTACGTGAAAAACAGCAGATACAGAATGAATTGTACGATGTTAGTTCTACAGATCGCTTATCGGGCAAAGTCAATCGTAATCACAATTTTACTTTTTTTCTTTAATTTTCTGCTCAACCATCAAGCAAATTTCTTGGAGTTCTTGACCTTATCTCAGCATATCAAAACACAAGATAAAAGTATTTTCAGCGAGTATAATAAATGATACAAGTAAATTATCAGCTTAAATTCGCGGTACTTCGCGCATTCTACGAGTAAAAGCAAGATTACGGCTGGAGCCACAAACAAGGGGAACTGGGATATTTTAATTATTTGTTAAATTATTTATTATTAATTAAAAGTATTTTATAAATTATTTATTTATTTATTTGTATTTCATTGTTCACTCTCTCTATTTTTTTATTTATTATTTTGTTGTACCAAGTACAGGAAGTAATATAATCTTGAAAAATTTCAGGTATCATATTTCAATAGAAATATGCATTTTGACCGTTTCCATATCCATCTGGACGAATTTTTGCTTGAGGTCTGTATGTACGGAGAAATTTAAAGACTTTTTTTTTTTTTTTTCCAAAACGGATTGTAAAATGGGTCTAAAATGCATTCAAATGGGACTTTTCGTGACTTCTGCACGTATGTATGTATCTCGCACAACTGTAAAATGATCAACCGTAGAACGAATAAATTTTATATATGGGATTGCTATAAGGTATAGTTGTACGCCTTCTTTTTTTATTGCAATCGACAATATATGTAATGAAATTGCGGTTCGATGACACGAGATGAAAGATTTGATCATGGATGCGGCACAAACTTGCGTGAAAATTTAGGTGAAACAGGACTTTTCCCATCATTCACTGTGAACATAGAATAACAAACCCGTGTAGATTTCTTCACAATTAGAACTGGCCGAAGAATGTAATGGCAGATATATATAATGTGTAAGATAAAAAATATGAAAGCAAACTTCTAAATTTAATTCACTATAACCTCTTATATATCGAGGTCAAAGTATAAGGAAATCCTGCTTATCCTATCACTATATTACATTTTTATTATACACTTTATTATTTATATTATACATTATCATACTTTATTATTATACAGTTTATATTAGACTTTATATATATATATATATATATCCACCCCTACCCCTTATCTTTCAAATTCTTATCCGCTCTTTATATTAGCAGTCGTTGGTTGTATTCGTACACTTCCAGTTATAGAAGTGTTTTTTAAATGACGAAAATATTCATATTTTGGCAATGTCAAATTTAAAAAAAAATCAATTTTTGACAAATGACGAAATCTAGTAACATATATAATAACAGTTTACACTGCTGTAAATATCTAACAATATTTAATAGCAGTTTAATGTTGTTCTAAAAAGAATATTTAATAAGCCCACGTCATGTGGTGTTCAGAACAAGTTTTTTTGTTAAAACTTTCCTGACGATCTTCCGCGAGACTTCGGCGCTTCCATGTTTCGAAATTAAACTCTGAGTAAAGTAGAGGAATTTTTAGTTAAAATAATCAGTTGTTATGGTCAAATATGAGAAGTTAAAAATAAATTAAATAAAAAAGTAATTATAAAAAGTAATTATGAATAATGTGAAGGATTTTTTAACTGCTTAATCACATATAAGAATGGTCTAAATGAAGAATATACCTATTTATGTAACGTGTCAGTGTCCGAACAACCCATTTTAATCCACTGATCATCTCTTAATCTTCATTGCCTAAAATATTATATATCTCTTAATTTAACATTAATTGAACTGAATGGGAATCATCTGCAGTTTTAATTTTCCTTTCCCTTTTTTAAAGGTAGTAAAATTCTAGAATTTATTGTAACCTAGAGGAATTTATACTGGCTAATGTTATGTTTAATATTTCAGCATTTTCTCCGTTTCAGCATTTCCCCCGCCATTTTAACATGTTTTATCTATGGGATCTAAGCATACATTTCAGTTTTTGTCTTATTTTTAGTGTGGTTTCATTGTGTACTCAATGCTTCTTGCCACAACTTCATACGTGGTTTTGCATTCCAGTTTGCTTATTATGTGCAAGAAATTTCCATCACTATCACGGCTGCCGTCAATTGCTTTATAACCTCCTTTTAAAATATTTTGGTTATCTCCTTTAAGTTTGCCCAAAATCTCTGCTTACAAATAAGTTACCTTTTGAATGACTGACTGTCTGAATGACTGACCAGGTACTGACTGAATACAGATTGTCATTTTTAGTAATCATTTGTTCTTCAACAAACAGTAAATTGAAATTCGTCATCCAATTGGAAACAACGGGGTATTGATTAAACATTTTTACATAAAACTGAACTTCGGTAACCTAGAACTTAAGTGATTGTAAAAATAAGAAAATAAAGTGCTATAGATTGAAATTTTAGTTATCTATCATATTTTCTCTTCACCGAACAATGAATTAAAACTTATCATCAAACTGAAAACAGACTGGTTATGATTAAAGCCTTCTCGCATAGAACTGAACTGAAGCCACGAGCGACAACAGAATAACAATAGCGTATTATAAAAGAATTGCAATACTATGCAATTAAGCACCAATAACAGGGTATGAAAATTTATTGCCTAGAATTCATGTATAAAAATATACGTATGAAACTGTGTTTCCACTTACAAAGTACTCCCTTTCACATCTGTATGTTGACGATTTTTAGGCGTAATAATTACTATTCCTGGTAGCAGACTTAGAACTCATTTTCTGTAATCCTTTTGCGATTTTCTGATTATCCATTACAATATCTTGCCTGCCTTTAAATCCCTTGTGCCACTAGAATGCACTTTATTTTCATGACAACTTTACATTTACATTACGACTTTAAACGATATAACAAAGCTGTTCCCGATTTTAGTACAAAATTTTGAATTAATATGGTATTCTAAATTTTGATCTGTTTTTACACAAAAATGCATGGTTAGGTACTTAGTTCATTCTCAGTAACACATTCCCCTAACCCTCTCCTCTCAGCTTGAAATTTGCACACGAATTAGCTCAGACATGTTCAAGCGCGAACATTTACTTAATTTTACGTCACGAATAACGCTAAGCGTCTGTTTTAGGATCCAAAAATAGAATTTTCGCATCTTTTTTGTTGCATAATAGTGTTTAAAGTATTGGTTACTACAAGTATTACCTGTTACCTTCTGTAACATTTACCGTGAGTATTCCCCTTAGTAAAATGTATTCCCTGTGATACCTTTCATTTTGTGCGGCCGCGACCAGGTGGCAAAAGTTAGAGGCGACACAATTTTTAAAATTTACAGAAGCGCCAGCAGCAAAATTTAGGAATAGCAAAATTTTTAGAACATAGAGGAGGCCATGAGTGAGCAGCAGAATTTAGGGGCGATAAAACTTATATTTTAAGGAGGCTCCGGGCAGCAGAATTTAGGACATACAGAGATTGCAACAGGCCGCAAAATGCCTATCGTCGGCTCTGATGCCCTGAGTATCACGTATTATCTTCTCTAAGATTTATCACAGCGTCACTTAGTAAAATTGATTCCCTATTGCATCTTTTATTTTGCATAACAAAATAATGCTTATGACATTGGATGCCCGGAGTATAACCTATCGTCTTCTTTAAAATTTATCACAGTGTCTTGGATAAGTGGTAAATCTTATTTTGCATAACAATGCTTAAGACATTGGATGCCCCGAGTATCATCTATTATCCTCATTATTTCCCATAATAATTACCACAATCGTGAGAATCATCCTCAGTAAAATTTATCCCGGTGATATTTTTATTTTGCATAATAATAATAATGCATAAGATATTTGATGCCATGAGTATTATCTGTTATTTTCACTAAAATTTACCACAATATCGTGAGAATTATCCTCAGTATCTTAATCCCGGTGGTATTTTTGTTTTGAATAATAATGCTTAAGACGATGCAGTATTATCTACCGTCCTGACTAAAATTTACCACAATATCGTGAGAATGATCCTCAGTAAATTAATCCCGGTTTCATTTTTATTTTGCATAATAATGCTTAAGATATTGGATGCCATGATGTTTTCTATTATCCTCATTAAAATTTATCTCAGCGTAATAAGAACTATCCTCAGTAAAATTTATGATGACGTAAATTTATGCCATGTAAATTTATATCTCAGTAAATTTTATGCCATGATATTATCTATTATCCTCGCTAAAATTTACCTCAACACATAGAGAACCATCCTCAGTAAAATTTATCCCTGCCATACCTTATATTATATATGATAGTATTTAAGGCATTGCCTGCCATGAGTGCCATCTATTTTTTCCGTAAATATTATCACACTATTTCGAGGATCATCCTTATTAAAATTAAATATTGTTGTGAGATTTCATCCGTTCTCATAGCGTATGAAAATATTAGGATTTTCCATAACTTTATTGCGTGATAAGAGGTTTGAACTATGCAGGCACGATGGTCTCGAAAAGTCTGCTTTCCTTACCGTAGGAAGTCCAGTTATCTTTCCTCGAGTCTCTTCTAATATGTATACTATTACCTCCCCCGTCAGCTTAATGTCATCATTGTCAAAACTTGATGCACTTGATAAAAACTCTGTTCAAATATCTTTTTCTTTAAAAGAAAAATGATTTCATCTGCCTACCGCTGTGTTATCGCCGAACGTGTCACTTTTCTCTGCTTTTACACTCCGTGAGAAAAATTACATCAACAAG